GGTTGTGCTACTTGTACATTATGTCATCCATTATGGATGCCATAATGTACAAGTAGAATTATCGGCACACCCTCCAATAGGATAATTCCACTTGTAGAATTATCCATATGTTATATGTCAATTTTATCCCTTTTTTAATTTAAAAAGTATCCTATATGCCAATAGGTAATTGCAAAACGTTCGAAGTAAATCTCGAAAGCTTCCAAAAGGAACTAAAACATTACACCAATCATAACAAATTTTATGCATTTTTCATTTGTTGAGAACACAATTTCGGTTGACTCTGTCATATAATTTTAAATACTAAGAATATGAAAAGCATTACATTCATATTTTGTTTTTATGAATTTGTTGACCTCAATATTCATTGGAAATGGCAAAAAATATCAAATTCATTGTATCTTTTGTTGGGCTCTTCAAGAAAAATGAATTATAGATTTGCAAAAGAGAGTAGTTGGTGGAACTGTCTCAAACGATAGAAAGTTGAGCATGTCGTGAACTAATAAATAGAATCAAATTGAAGCTTGGGGGTGGTACTCGGTTGAAGAAATCTACCGCGAGCTTTTTTAAGAACTTGTTCATATGATTAGACGTCACTTCTTTAATCGAAATATCTCCAAATAGGCAGTTCTCCACGTTTGACGGTGTAAATACCGCATGAATCAATGTAAATAGCAGTTGAGCGTAGCATTAACTAAAAACTGAAGTCATCACGCTAAAATTTTTTACAATTCATTTTGTAACTATTTACGATCCTATATTAGGCTCAGTTTTTACATATTATCTGACCATGACAGTTCAGAAATCAAGACCAAGCAGATTGTTACCACGCAGTCACAGAAAGTACAAAATAGTAAAGAGGGAAAGCAATTCGTGACTTTATAAATTTTAAGGCATTAAGTCACACATGAAATACTCGTAGCGCTTTAATCGAACTAACTCTGATTCTATGCATCACATCTTCAGGGAAAAATCATGAGAGAAGAACGAAGTTTCAGTGGAATAGAGGTAGAGTGTTAAGTTGGCGAGCTACAGGCACGTGTCTAGCTACGAAATCACTCGTGCGCTTCGTTCGTTGGCTCGCACGAGTTGGTTTGAGAACAGGACGAGCTAGCTCACTTTTTAGTTTGTGAGCCATGCTAGGCAATCATATCTATAGCTTACACGGGGTTTTTAGTCATGGAGGCTGCCTTGTACTAAAGAGAAAAAAATGATAAATCACATTATTGTCCTATTCATTACTGTTCTGTAATAACATGCCAAGATGTTTTAAGATTGGAAATTTTCCCAAAAAATCGGACATAAGATCAAACAGGAGACATTCAAAAAACCAAAGGTTTTTACTTGTACTATTAAAACTCAACAAAATCAGTCAATTGTCATGATAAAATCCTAGGAACAGATTTCTGTACATCTTATGTTGAATTCTGTAAGGTGCAACTTTTGTACTATGGCATGCTACCAGCCAGAGTGTTGGAGTGAAATTTCACCCCTAACCACGACTAGCTGCTGATTTCATTGCTGTTCATACTAATCTCATTTTTTCATGGTTTTATGTACAAAAAGTACATCCTCAATCCAAGCAACAATGTTGAATGCCAAACCTTCCAACACTCTGGCATAGCTCTCCAGGATTGCTTGTCCTACATCCTGCAATAAAGTGCAGAGAGAAAATGAGAACTTCAATACATTAAGTATTTTCTTGCCGCAAAACAATGGAACACAGTATTGGACAATATAACAAACAAGATTTTAGCTTATTTTTCTTAATTAATATTGTCCAGCACGGCATTGAATGGACATTGATTTGTACAAGGATAAGATATAAACTTGCCTTATTGTATTGGATCTTGCTTGTGTCCAATGTAGTTTGTGAGAGTTCTGGATATCTTTGCTTCAGGCAGAACAACAAGGTCTCGGCTCTTGCGGCTAAGACATTATTCTTATCGTTTCGATCAATCTCAGACACAAAGTCCTTAACCATGTCCCATGATGATTTAGAGTGAGTCACGCATTTACGTCTCCATGTATGCATTGAAGCTTCAACCTTGTCTGCAAACTCAAGTGCCTCATGTTCAGAGCCTATATCAAGAGAATCAAGAAGACAACCCGGGGAAAATTTTTCTGTGGTATACATGTAGCGGTAAATNGCCTATATCAAGAGAATCAAGAAGACAACCCGGGGAAAATTATTCAGTGGTATACATGTAGCGGTAAATATTATCTCCCACACTTGCTTTTCCATTCTAGAATCACCAAAAATGATGTTAGAGAATTGATTACTAAAAGTTTTCTGGTCTATGCAATTGTTATGAAAAATTCGTGGTGCCAACCTACCTTAGGCAGAGTTGCAAGGTATGATTCTGGTATCTCCATTTCAGCAAGAATGCTATTATTGATGGACAGTGAAGCTTTGTGAATTTGGTAGGCACAATCGCGCTTTTGGAACAAATGTTTCATTGATTTCTCAGATAGGCCAGTAGAAGGAACACAAGGAACCGGCAACCACCATTTTTCATCTACTCGTTGAGGCTGAGGCTGAAGTATCCTCCTGAATGATCCAGAACGCGTTGAATTTCCCGACATGCTTCCAGGATCTGCATACCAAAATTCTGTCTCCTCGAAGCTGTCCAGTATATCCTATGTACAAAACTAATTTCATTAGGCATTGGAGAAAGGCAGAATCATTCATTAAAAGAAAATATCTAGATTTTAGCAGATAAAAATGTTCTTACCAGGAGCATTGCATCTAGTTTTCTCAACGCAGGAAGGTTGATGTAAATATCTGATCTTGGTCTGCTTGTCATCACCTGAAATACATACATTTGCTAAGTGACACGAGACCAGGAAAGCTTACGTCCGAAAAACAAAAGAAAGAGTCTTCACCTCTAAAGTAGTCCCGTCTTTCAAAGTCTGCAATGCAGGGGCTAATTCTACTATGTAATCACAGACTGATAAAAGGCAATTCATTTCTCTTTTCCACATCAATTTCTTATCAGGACGCAAAGGCTCTAACTTCTGATGCTGACCAAATACTGAAGCTGAAATGCATAAACAGCATGTTTGGTTATTGGTAAACAGTACTAAATATGATTTGATAGTACAATAGACAATATTTTAGCATATTTTTCTTCATTAATTGTGTCCACTACACCTTATTAAAGGTTCCAAAGATGTACTAACAATGAAACATACTAAAAACAGAAATGAATTCATAATATATCCGCTATTGACAGTTTGGTTCTTTTTGGACAGATTAGACAGAATAACTAACAAATTTGCCTCTTCTTTATAATACTATCCATTATGATATATAAAAAATGCCTACCATAGAGATTTGTTATGGCATTGGAGATTGTCACTGCAGTGCAAACACCTTTTCCACTTCCTGACATGTCCTCCCCCAGCAAAAGCTTTGAAAATCTCTCCTTCATCAGTTCCAGCTCTGAAATATTTTAGTAACAATTGAGCATACTTGTATCGTCGTATAATTTAGAAGTAATTGTAAATTATTTCACCATAGTTTGGTAAACTTGCAGATTATTATCCCCTCAAGGACAGGAAAACCATGCAAATTACCCTCAAATCAGCAAAAAAACTTAGGTAAATCAAAAGTAGACTAATCCACAAGATTTTCAAAAGTGATTCAAGACTATTCCAAAATCATGAGGGTAATTTGCAGGATTCACAAACCACAAGAGGGTGATTCATATATTAGACTAGGAGGAATATATGTATAACATTGTGAACTCACCTAACTCCATTGTTTCCTCACTGTGCTGCTTTTCATCATAAGGATACCTGTGCTGCTTCATTCCTAATCTCGAAAGGGCTGCCCGAGTTGGAGTTTTCATGCCAGGCCAGCAATTAGGAGAGGCCGTCTCAGAACAGCTGTTGTCATCCGTGTGCTCAGAAAATGCTGAGGTCACGGAACTCGTTCTGCAGTAAGCAAAAGATTCTCCACTAATAATTGAGTAACTGGTAGTCTCTGTTGGAGATTGATCAGTCTGATCCAGAGAAGATGACGGCTGATATCCCATATCAGTATTCTCCGCCGAATTCGAAATGCTATCCATTAAGATCCTCTCTCTGTAAATTTTGGACTAAATTCTCAAATTCTGCAAGTATTCTACACAGATCATCAAGGAAATCACTTTCTCAAATAAAAAAAGCTATAAAAATGTATGATATTTGATTAGGCTCCCTGTCTGTCAAATCTGAGGTAATTGCTCAAATTATGAAAGTATTCTTAATTCATTTAATATACAGAGTTCAAGATTCTGGGACAAATTCTCGAACAGTTAAACTCAAAAATGAATGATATTTGAATACAGAACAACCCGGGAAACGACTCAAAATTCATGGATTTTACAGCCCAAAGAAAAGCACACATTTATCTTTTTCAAGTAAAAGCAAAAGAAATATTATCAAATGTCATTGTTTTATCAAAACTTTGAATAATTCTCTGAAACAAGATTCATAAAGTGAAGCTTCCAAAGCATATAATCCGGGAGATGGAATAAAACTGAAATTTGACAGAAACTTAAAGCAACAACGGCAGTTAGAAAAAGCCAACGGGAAGCCTACCTTTTAATTTTTTAGATTTTGAATTTGAACAGTTCCCCTCCTAATTTTTCATCACTTTTTTCTGCAAAAAGAATTGTTTTTCTTTGAATAAAACCCAACTGTTCAGAATCTTGAATGAAGAACAATCTCAGCCATTGATCACGCAATGGATTGTGAAATCAAATATAGGGGAACCCAGTTGCTAAAATGCTTCCTTCTTTTATTATGAATTTTGGAGGAATGACAGTGAAGCATGCAATGCATATAATAAGCCTATATGACACAAAATATAGTAACCCGGTTCATACCTTTCCCGTCAAGACCCAAGGGTCTCTTTCGTTGTGTCCGTCGGTCGGTCGGTCGACACGAACTCGTTTGAAAACGTCAATTTTGAAACTTGATTGTCAGTATAAGCTTTCAACGGATAGAATTGTGTATATAAGTTGTCTAAAATTTAATACCATACTGATATTGAAACTGACTTTTTTTAGTCCGTCTCACGGTATTGCCACTTGTTCAACTTTAGTTGAACAATTTTTGAATCAAACGGTCCTCTCCAAAAGGCGTTTTTAATGTGACTTTATCGAGTTGTCCAACCTGTCAACACGTGGTAGTGACCTAAACAAGATAATAACTTTTTTTTTTTTTTTTGCCAGATACGATAATAAATTATATCATTACTCTTCGTTTCAAGATAAGCGAGTTTGATTAATTTCATTTTATTATAAAATTAAACGTCCAAAACTTAATGAAACATGTCAAATTTGAAGAACTCAAGTTAAATTAAAAATTATATAACTAAATAATTTTTTCCAGTTCTATAATGGATGGAGGGAGGAAGTGGCCTGTGAGATGCTTCCATCAACTTGAGCACTAACAAGCTGTACTAAATTTATATTTGGTAAGGGAATAAAAAAATAAGTAATTGCTTAAAATTGTTAATAATTTCCTATTTTAGGTTTGATTAATAATGAAGCAATAACATTATGGAAAGACAATAAATTAGGGATATATTATTAATATTTAAAGATTAAAATTATGGAAAGACAAGAAATTAGGGATATATATATAATTAAGTCAAAATCGGATGGTTAGCCCGTGATTAACGCCATCCTATACTAAACAAAAAATTGAGTTTTCTTTGTTTTAATTTCTTCTTCAAACATTGAAAGTACGAGGCTAGAAGGGCACGACACAACTCATGTTTTGATTGTAATATTGAAATTGGCAAAATGTCTTTGCGAGTTGACCATGCTAAGTATGACAAAAATCTCTATAACACTCGTCATTACCAACCTACCGACCAATCCCATGTGGGCTAGTAACTTTGGTAATAAAATTTGAGAAAAGTGGGAAAATAAAAATCTCTCCTCCAGGGTTCCAACATTCAACCCAATGTCACTAAAAAAAATAAAAATAATAAATAAAAAGTAATTCACCTAGCTTGGTACAGATCAAGGATGGCATAATTTATATAAATATTATATTTGTTAAAATATACACGGTTTTTGAAATCAATATGAATGAAGAAATTAAAAACTATTGATTCATAAATAAAAAATTTATCAACATAAAACTTGGTCAATGAAACACAAGTTTTAGGGACAAAATTTTCTTGAATATTGCTCAATTGGTAGACGTGCGGACCACTATTTGACTCTTGTCACTCTTCGCTGTCACATATAGTTCAATGGGAGCGGCATATAAAATATAACTAGCATTTAAATAATTGAGCCAAATGATTGTGTAGAAATGAATAATTTTTTTTAAAATGTGAAGAAAATTTAAAAATTGTGTCTCATGATTTTAATCATTTTAAAAAAAAAAAATTATAAAGATAAATTTATTATATTGGGATGCTTTTTCTTCTTTGGTTTTTGGTTTTAGAGGGTGTTGAAAGGTGACATAAAATTATAATGTTCAATTGTTTGATAGTCTCATATTTTAAAGTTTATTTTGAACTTGTTGACTAGAAATTCACGTCACTTTCTCTTTTCCAAGTTGAGAATGTAGAACTTACGGAAATTTAAAGAGTTTTGAGCGGATGGATTAAAAGAGTTTTGTATTTGAATAATAATTTCAAAAGAGTTTCAAGTTTTGAATTCGGTGTTGCATTCGAAGAATAACTTCAAAAGAGTATAGAGTGGAGTGATAAAAATGAGTAACCTTAAATGAATGGATCGAATAAAAACTTCGAAAGAGTTTAGTGTGATTTTGTACAATTTGATCTTCATATTTTGATTTTTCTTTCGATCAACCCTTCATATATTGCAACTTAAAGTCCTTGAACTTTTGGAACTTGTGCATTTTGGTCCACAACTTCACAATTTTGTACGATTTTGTTTTATTTTCACTTCATTTTGCTTTGTACTCTGTCCTTGGGTGATTTTCATACAAAAATAATAATTACATAATTATAAGTAGAAATTCGTTCATTTAATCAATATTTAAGCTTATTTAGATATTAAATAAGTGTGCAAAAATACACTTATCACACATCCACATTACCTCGAACAAGATGGAGAGTAATACACAAAATCAGCTGAATATAGAGTTAGAAAGTGAAGAGGAAGTTATTGAGGACAACCCTATTGACCAAAACCCTCTAATCGATTGTCAATTAACTAGAGATAGAAATAGGAAATCACATAGGGAACCCCAAAGGATGTCTGAATATACCATTGCCTATAAGGAGGCTATGAGAAATGAAAAAAGTTGAGGAATCGCTAGGTTCCATGAGAGAAGAGAAAAGTTCTCTTCTCAAGAATTAAACTTGAGATTTAATTCCTAAACCTAAGGATAAATTGATCATAAGATGCAAATGAATTTATAAAATTAAGAAGGGGACCATTGAGAATGAGCCCGTGAGATATAATGTTAAATTAATAGCCAAGGGATACACACAGAAAGAATGTGTATATTATAATGAGATCTTTTCACCAGTTGTTAAGTATACCATTATTAGGGTCATTCTTGTTTTTGTTGCTTGAACGCCTTAATGTCAAAACTTTCTTTTTTTTTTTTTTTTTTTTTTTGGATGGTGACCTTGATAAAAATATTTTTCTGAATTAGCCCAAAGGTTTTGAAAGTAAGTGACCATGTGTGTTTTGTTTTTTTAAAAAAAAAAAAATCTATTTATGGGTCAAAACAATCTCCACATTAGTGGTACAAAAAGTTTGATTCTTATGTGTTGTCTATTGGTTTCAAGAGGAGAAAGTTTGACCATTGTTTGTATTACCTACATAACAACACTAATAAAGAGTGGGTATGTGTTATTTTATGTGGACCACATGTTAATTGGACCTAACATGAAGGTGGTAAACAAGAATATTAAAATGGAGTTAGGGAAAGAATTTGACATGAAAGACCTAGAACATGTTGGAGGATCCTTGGTATGAAGATTAATCGGGATAGGTCTAATTCTTGCTTGTATGTGCATCAAACTCCTTACGTGCTTAAAGTTTTAGAGAAATTTGACATACTTAACTGCAAACCAACTTTTATGCCTTTTGGAAACCATTTCATTTTATAAAAAAAAAAATCACCTGCCAATGATGAAGAAAAAAGAATTTATGAATGATATTCCTTATTCAAATGTCATGGCTCAATTATGTACCTTATGATCTATACTAGACCTAATTTGGTTTTCATTATAAGTGTGTTAAGTAGGTATATGTCTAATCATGGTCCCAAACATTGAGAAGCGTTAAAGTGGTTGCTTAGGTACTTGAAGGATACTTTTAATGCGGGGTTAGTGTATAAATCTGGTATTGAGGGTGTAAAGCTTTAAGTTTTCACAGATATTGACTATAGTAGTGATAGAGACAATATGAAATCTAGTTCCTCTTGCATGTTTACTTTGTAAGACTCTTGTGTGAATTGAAAGTCTCAACTTCAACATATAGTTGCTTTATCTACCACTGAATCTGACTATATTGTTGCCACATAAGTTATTTAAAAAGCTTTATGGTTTAGAGATTTACATAATGAACTAAGTATTTTAAGTGATAATGTAATAGTATACTCTGATAGTCAATCTACTATTCATCTGTGTAAGAACCCTGTGTTTCATGAATGCACTAACACATATAGATGTAAAGCTATATTTTATTAGTGATGTAGTGTCTCAAAATTTAATAAAACTTCAAAAAGTACATTCGAATTATAACCCTACAGATATGGGCACTAAGGTGCTTCTTGGGTAAACTTTAGAAGCTATCTTACATGTCTACATCAGAAATGGTATGTGAAGCTTCAATTTTATTTGAAATCACGTTATCCGACTACTAAACCATTTTTTTCTTTTTACAGGTGTATTTGGAATCAATGTGAATGTTTGTTGGGTATTTTGATACCAAATAAATTCGGGACGATGATGAATTTATCGAATATATAACCTATTGTTGTACTATATATACTTGGCCTCCCCTCTGCATAATAACACACGATTTCCTTTAGGCTCCCTTTTGAGAAATATTTCAGCTACTTTTCTTTGTGCTCTGTTTTTTGC